TTATATTTTTTCAGGAACTTTGTGTTAATAATAATTTAGAGGAACCACAATATGTTCTTATCCGTGATCATGGACCACCACATGCTAAAATCTTTACTATTCAATGCAAAATATCTAGTTTTGAAGAAAATGGAACAGCAACTACAAAGAAACAAGCAAAACATGACGCTGCAAAAAAGATGGTAGACAAAATAAAATATCTTGTGAATAATGATTTATATAAAGAAAAAGATGAAGAAGATTCTTCAAATTCTGTTACAACTGATTCGATAGACATGATGACTAAATGTGCTGAAGAATATTACCGCACTTCAAGCAAAATGACAAAAAAGCTTAACTTAGGTATTAGATTAGCTGATTATCATATTAAATGGAGAGATTCCTTGGAAACTGATAAACGCAATAAAATACTAGAAGAATTAGAATCTATCTTTCCCAACGAAATGTGTAACAATTTAGATGAATATAATAATGAATCTATAATAAAAAAAATAGCTAAATTCGAAGCTACATTAGCAGAGGTTGATGTAACAGTTAATATGAAGGATATAATTACAGATAATCATGTTATGCAATTAATAGAGCTTAATACTTGTCCTATTCTCACACAAATTGGTATAGGACATAATCAACTGGAAGCTTCTTGGAAAGCCTTGTCCTTAATAATACAGACATTAAAATTACTTTTAATGTAAAAAAAAATGTAAAACAAATTTCTAAAATAAGTTTAATAAAATACACATCAAATTTTATATAAAATCGATAATATTAATGAAAGCTTTTCTTTCTACTCGTATATATTTTCAAAATTTTTAAATATTTTGAGTTGACATAACCAATATTTCAATTATGTTTACTCTGTAAATATTAAAATTTTTTGTTTTTAAATTTATACCTAAAATTACAAAAATTAATTATCATATTGTCTTAAATATATCATAAATAATATTTTTGTTTTTTTTTAATATTTTTCATAGCATTTGTTTATAAAAAACTAAGAATAGAAGATTGTTTATTTTATTATTAATTTATATAGTACAAGTGATATAATAAGTTATGTTAATGATTTTTGTTTTATTATACGATAATTATACGATAATTATACGGTTTATTAATATACTTTTAAATGGATATATGTACAGTGCGTTGCCGATTTTCAAGTCAAGTCGGTAGACTGGAACTTGACAAAATCATTAGCCAATTGTGCGACATTCAAGTGCTCAGTACTATAACATAACTTGGGTTTTTTTGGTTCTTTTTGGCTCTATGTTTTATTGCGTATATTTTATTTTGTTTATATTGTTTGTATATTTTGTTTATACCGCAAGCATGTCGTATCGTGTCGGCATGTTTGCATATTTTCGTAATATATACAGCCGATTTTTTCACGAGCCTCTTCCATGCACTTTACCTGGCACTGGAGGAAGAAAACTTGACAAAATCGGCAACGCAGTGTAGAACATTATAATATATTATGATTTATTTTATTAAATAATATATATTTTTATATATTACATAAAAAAATTTGTATTCTGCGTGAGATAAATATTTGAATATTTAATATTAATTATATTGGTATCTTGTTGTTTGATACATTGTAAGAAAAAATAATACATTAAATATAATTATACTCTATATATAATTGTCTTCTGAATATCATTTTAAATTAAATCATTTTTTTATTATTGTATACATTCTAATTTTTTATTTAATATCACACAACAAGGCAACACCTCGAAGTGTCCAATGTCGGGGATTATAATCTGTTTCAAAATCGATAGAACCGACATATTTTGAATCTGTTCTTTGAGGCTTCCTATATATAGGGCATTCATATAATTTTGGATCTTTACCAGCGGTAGTGTTTATAGCGAAAATGTAAATAACCGGCATTTGTTCGTAAAGAACTTTCGGTCGACTCTCTACGAGTTTACCAGCTTTTCGATCAAGTGATGCACCTTCCAGAAACAAACCATGCACGTAAACTCCTTCCTGAGGCTGACTTTTAATGTCTTCTTTATTATACCGTGTAATCACATTTTGCAAAACTACAGAATCTAAAGCCCAGCCTTTATGCGCTCTAGTCACTTCCTAAAGTCCATTTATTTAATTAAAATTAAAACAATTTAGAGCCGAAGCTAGTTATTATTACAATTATTATTATAATTATATATTTATATAATTATAATTAATATATTTATATATATTATATATATTTATATATATAATAATATATTTATAATATATTTATATATATTATTTATATATATTTATATATATTTATATAATTATATATTTTTATATATAATAAAATATGTAATGAAACATTAAAATATGCATTACATGCTCTGTTATATGTAACTATGATTTTATGTTATTAGATAACTATTAAATCAAATGTTATATAAACCTGTGTAGATATACTTTCATTAGATATACAATGTGAATTAAATTATTATTTTTCATATGTGCATAATTTTTAAATTCTTACCTGTCGCATTGCTGTTAGGAATCCTTGTGGATTAAAAAAACCAGTCATCCAAAATACTCGTGGGCGACCATGAATACACCATTGTCTAAATTGATGATCTCTTTCTAAAAGCTCCGTATACCAAAAACCTAACGTTGCCGATTCCCAAGATATTTTCAACCATTTTTCTGGAATGCGCGCATCATACATCGCATCCAATGATTTTCGCAAGCCTTGACTCATTACAATAGTACCTTCGATAGCTAGCTTCAAATCCGTTAAAGTGCTTCGTACTTCTTTAATGACTCGCGAAATTCTAAAAAGAATGGTCTTTTTGTTAATTATTTTAAAATACATTGATAATAATAATACTAGTTATTTTTATGAATAACTTTTGAAAATTATTTATGAATAACTTTTGAAAATTATATATATGTACGCATGTATATGTACCGATCTATTTCTTGTCTTAGGAAAATGTTCATCGGCATCAGTGGGCCCATTCTTTGAAGCGCTTCTTTCACTTCAAAAGAATTATATTGTTTGGGTAACTTAGACAACATATCATCGGCTAATTTATACACAACATTTTCTCTAGTTTCACCTCCCTGTGCACCACCTTCTTTTGGTTGTACATTAAGAATTGTATCGAGTATTCCTTTCGCTGTGTTGATTTGATAGGTGATATCTGCGTTTGGATGTAGTCCAAACACCTCTGGTGTGTCAGTAGCTGGTAAGCTATCAATGTAATCCAGATATCCTTGAAGATTTCTCGTCTGGGGCACTCTGTATCCCCGATAAAATTCAAAGCCTGGCCGTAATAATACATCGCAAAACCAAACATGCGTGAAAGTAATTAATAAACGTTTATCGAAATCATCCGTAACTCTACCGCCATATTGAACCTATATGTAAAGATATTATAAATAAATGCAATTGGATGAATAAAATATAAAAATTCAATGTTGTTAAATTTATTTAATGAAAATAAAGGAATAGATTGAAACCTCTCCAAGCATGTAACAGACTGTTGGCCAAGAAACCCCCTTTTTAGGATCCATGTCATCCAAATGATTTTGTATGAATTGAACCGACGCTGCAAAATCTGCTTGATTAAATTCATAAGGTATATTCCAGCCAAGGGGTCCAAATTTTCTTCTTTCTTGTACTACAGTATGTAAAAATGCAACAGCATATAGCAAAGGTGGCCACTGCGATTGAGAACTGTAATCCAATGCATCTTGAGTTACCGCTTGATAAGTTCTTTTCAAACTAGCTCTTATGCCTTGAGGTGGTTCATTTGTAAATTTGATTGCCATCTGAAATATATTGCTTTTCATTATATTATTTTTAATATGACAGTTAACATATGTTTATGTTGAAAATTAGTTATATTAAAAAATGTAAACTAAATATATATAAATTAAAAATTTAACCTGTAGCAAACCAATGGGAAATTGAGGATGTACTTCAGTTGTCATCCACAATCTAAATACTTCGTGAACAGTTTCTGTTTCAACAAGAGCATCCATTACTTCTGTACAGAAAGGTAATGATAAATGAATATTTTGCAACAGAACCCAGCCGCCTGTGTTCATAGCTTCGCTAATCATTTTTCGAGCATGAAGCTCTTGGCCTTGTCCCATGGACACTAAATGTAGTGCTATAACAATAAATATTACCAAATATTAAATATTAAATATATTATTATTTTTGTGCTATTATTAAAAAAGATATAAATTATATTACAAAAACAAGTACAAAAATGTAAACTTACGAATAGTTTTTTGTTTAGCTAATGCTATAATTTGTGAACTTGGGTCAGATCCTATAGACAACAAACATATAAGTGGTGTTCTAGTTTCAGATTCTGACCATGTTGCCTCTAAATCTAGTATTTTAGCTTCCCCATATTCTTTACCCAACGATTCAGTTATATACTTTCTCGCCTGAGATAAAGTTCTATCAGGGCTCCACGATCTAATCAGCAACAATTTCCGAAACACATCAAGACTCTTTTGGTAGCCACAAGGCAAATCTTCCTCCTCCGGTTTCTCTTTTTCGTACCATATCCTCCATTCCTTTTCACTAAACTCAATTTTCGTTAATATATCCGAGAATACTTTTAATCTACTTATTTCAACTAAATTTAACCATGTTATGTCAAGTATCCATTTGAAGGGTTTTGGTGTTACTGCATTAAGATCTAAGGAGGCTCCACCCTTTATGAAGGCATTAAATTCTGCGTGAGAAATAGCACCTCTATGACAATCTATTTTCATAGCTAGCATTAATGTAAATAAAGATTTATGCCTTTCGTAAAGACTTCTCAGAGTAAATGCCCATACTTCATATGTAAGATGGCGTAGAATAATGTTTATCCTCTCGGAAGTTATAGGACTTTTTGCAGATTTTGTAATTGAGTTATCAAAGATTGTCAAGAATTGTCTTAATGAATTTTGATACATCACATTAACATTGCTCATTTCAACTATCAAGAAATATAAGATAGATCCTCTTGATGCAACTGCACGAAACTCTTCGCGTGCCAAGGTGATCTTTTTTTCAGTAAGAGCGGATACTTGCAATTTTTCATTCACTGATTCGGCCGTAGTCTTGGTTTCACGAAGGACAGTTATTAACGCTTCATCATCTACCAAAGAACCTTCCGAAGATGTAAGTCTATGTAATAATGTACTTTCAAGTTCTTTCATCGAGCGTTGATTAGTCATGACTGACTCGAATAGAGCGACCCTTTCTGCTTCCAAATCAGCTTTTTCCATAAGTATTACTCGCCCTAGCAATTGATCTTCTAAACCTAGCATTGTCACGGTAAAATCGATAATCGATGTCTTCGCGGATATTTCTGGACTGTACGCTGGATTTGGTAGTTTGGTTGTGATATACAGCATAAATCCTGGCATTACGTCGCATTCTTTATCTCCAACGATGACCTTCTCGATGGATCCTGATTTAATGAAATTTTTTTCAAGTACATTATCGAGTACTGGATCGAGTTCTTCTGCAACATCTTCAATTAACAGTGGTCTACCTAACGAAAGGCTGTCTTCGAGATGAGTTCGAAAATATTTATGATTTAGCGAAGTAATCTGCAATTCGTTTGTACTTTCTTTATTCTTGATCCACATCTTCCCTTGATTCTGAGGATCCACAAGAAGTGGATAAGACGAAGATTTAGTGACAATAAGCGCATTCTGTACGGATAACTCAT